GATTCATCGATTAGTTTTTCAAAATATTCATTGAAAATTGATATTTGTGAATTGAGACTTCATGAAATTAAGACTAAGATGCATTATTTTTTATCTTTATAAATATATGTGTGTGATTAATGGATACAAGCTTATATTACAAAAGCTTAAGCAAAAAGTTATTCCAAAATTATATCATTCTAATAAAACATCATAAGAAAAAACTAAAATAATTTCGTTCTTATCTTACAAATTAAGATATTTTAATTTTTTTTAATGAAAATTTATTTAAATGATATAGTTTTCAAGTATTTTTCATTTAATTTTTTGTAATACAGATTGATACTTACTTTTTTGTGTATATGTATATATTTATTTATTCATGATAAGAATTATATGTTAAAGAATACCATATATATATATATATATCACTCAAAAGTAAGTTGTTATACACCAGCAGTATGTCGAACGAATTGTTGAATGTTGTGTCTACTCATGCCAAGTAATCGATGAATAAACAAATCAAACCATCTGTTCGCCAAAAAAGAAACAAATCAAACCAACGTAACCTTTCCCTTAAGTAAGTCATTACTAATATACTTATAATGCACTGGCATGCTCTTCCTTTGGCCTTTATCTTATGATTCAGCCCCTTCACTTTTTCAACTCAAAATCACACATTTAGTCAGGTATTTAGAATTTTCTCTATTTCTCTCAGTTTCTAAATTTATATACTAAAAGGCTCTTGGTTTATAAATCGTAATTTTGTTTATTTAAAATTTTTTGTTTAAATTTAATGATTAATTTAAAATAGTCAACTTGGTGTTTATTGATGCCAACTAATTCTTTGAATAATTAATTCAAAAAGACAAAACTTTTACTTTTATGCACCTGCACACCAGCTCATGGCTTCCTTTTCCACAGCCTCCTTACTTTTGGACTCAATAACAAATTTTTCTTTCAATAATTATGAACAAAAGATCTATAATAAAAGAAATTTCAAATGAGTCACCAACGGATGCCTGAGAAGGAAATGCAATGCCTTGCTCGGGATTTTGGATGAATGAAGCAACTTATCTTGTTCCCAAAAGAGAAAATTCTAATGAGAGTAAAAGGCACAAATTTGTTTCAATATACAAAATTTTTTTTTTGTTTAAATTTGATGACTACCTTTTTATTATCACTTATTTATCATTTTAATTAGCCATGCAAATAAGGGTTTGATTCCATAATATAGAACAGTGTTTTAAGAACCGGACCGGACCGGCCGGTTCAACCGGTGGACAAAACAGGCCGGGTGGACACCCAAGCCCATTTGGCGGTTGGACCGTCCAAACCCGAAAGAACCGTCCAACCCGTCCGTCCCGGTAGACCCGGTGAACCGGCCCGGCGCATTCTTCCATGGTGACGTGACGCTGCAAGCCTGCAACTTCGTTTTCTTTTTTTTTTCACGATCTCCCACACTCACGTGGCTAAGTCTATAGCCTAGGATGGGCCCCACTCTCTCCTGATCAGAC